AGAACTGGATGCGGAATTTCAGCGGGTAGGACCAGAAACTGTATGCGCCTTTATCGCTGAGCCGGTCGTTGGTGCGGTAAGTACTTCACACCCAACTTTTCACCGTTCGTCTCACATGCTAATCTCGACATTCTGGGATGTCTAGGCCCTCGGTGCCGTCCCCGCCGTCCCAGGCTACTTCCCGGCCATGAAAGCCATCTGCGAAAAGTACGGAGCACTGTTCATTCTCGACGAAGTGATGAGCGGCATGGGTCGGTGCGGCACCTTGCACGCATGGGAAGATGAGGGCGTTGTGCCCGACCTCCAAACTATCGGTAAGGGACTTGGAGGGGGATATGCCCCTGTCTCTGGTCTCTTGATCGGCGAGAAGATCGTGCAGGCGATGGACAAGGGCACTGGCGTTTTTCGACATGGGCAGACCTACCAAGGCCACCCCGTCGCTTGTGCAGCTGCACTGGCGGTTCAGAAGACCATCAGGGAGGAAAACCTGCTTGAGAATGTGAGGGCCATGGGTACTTATCTGGAAAAACGACTCAGAGCGCGGTTGGAGTCTCATCCGAATGTGGGGGATATAAGAGGAAAGGGGTTGTTCTGGGGAGTATGTCGCCGTCTAGGTACGCGTATCACAGGGAAAATGCTGACCAGACGCTACTATAGATTGAATTTGTCAAGGATAAGACCACAAAAGAGCCTTTCGCCCCAGAGACTGCCATCGCCTTCCACGTCCAGGAGACTGGCCTGAAGCCAGTTCATGGAATCTCCTTATATGCAGCGAGTGGATGCGTAGATGGCATACGCGGTGACCATGTCCTTCTCGCTCCTCCTTATAATGTGACTAAAGAGGAAATCGATATCATCATTGAGACGGCGGGTAAGGTGATTGAAGAGGTTTTTGCGAACATCGGCAGTACCTAGAAGACATGAATACTCTACAATAGTTAATTGTGCGTTTTATGATTACTCGAGCGCCGTTGCGGCATTATTTATGACCATATGCTGTCGCAGAAGGTAGTGATAAAGACAGAATCTATATGTTCATTTGGAGTTCTCCAAAAGATTAAATGACCTTCGCTGAGAACAACTTGGCTTTGGCCACATTGGATCCTTCACTGTCAAAAAGATGGACTATTGTTACACATTAGAACGAAAGACATTCAAGCCTTTGCCTCAATTTCATTGCTCTTTGATAAAGCCACCTCCTTGGTGCCTTGTGTCCCATTTGCGACGGGAGCTGGCGGAAAGCCTTCCAACCACATGCTCGCGACAGTCTCCACAGCCCGTTCAATGACCACGCGGACTCTATCTCTGAGCACTGCATTTGCACACTCGACCTCGAGATTTTCGAGCCATACCCGCGCGACGTGTTTATCAACCTTGATCTCAATCCCAGGATAAGGGATCCCAAGTGCTTGAAGACGAGCAAGTTCTGCTGCTTCAATTTCTTCCGCTCTCTCGTCCTCTTCATCCTCTTCGACGTCCTCTTGAGACTCAGTAGGGGTTTCACCTGCGGCATCTGATTCGGTCTTGGCGGCTGCTGATACCAATGGATCGCCCTTGGTTGTGCCGTTCGCACGAATACTAGAAGGAATCCGCGGTCGTTGAATGGGTGCAATATCTGATCCAAATTGTGCCTCTAGCATCATGAGCAGATTCTCAAATCTCTCTTCAGGTCCTTGGTGGGCATGGGGATTAGGTAGTTCCAGGTCCCCATGATGGTGATGGTGATGTTTGAGCTTTGCGGATTCTGCGGTCATTGGTCAGCATGAAAATCTTGCAATGAATGAGAAAGGAATCAGCGTACGTTTCACCGATGCAGGACTGCTTTCAACAGTGAGCAGCACCGCCATAACTGCGTCGGCAACACCATCATTCATCATGTTTCCCTCCCATTCCAATTCTACCTCGCGAGTCCGAGGGTGATAGCGGATGATCACGCAGCCCATGACGAGATATGTTTGCGTGTCCTCCATCGGGATCTCCTCATCTGCAGGCTCTTCTTTCATTTCATGCTCTCCGTTAACGGCCTTTGTGGATTCTTCCTTGACCTTACCCTGCTCGCTGCCACCGAGTTCTTCGATAGCGCCAAAGGTACCCTCAAGTGCCCATCTTATAAGATCCATACTTGCAGAGCTAAGTGTGATATGCTGCTTGCATGTTATGGTCGTTGTTGTTAAGCCAGCATACTCGCGGAGGTCATCAGGCGCCATCAGCGACAGATTGAATCCATTCTGAACCAAGACACCGGACATTAAACGGCCATCATCCTGCTCTGAAGGAGGAGCGACTTGGGCTAATTTACCGACAACTTTAGCGACTTTGTCTTTTCTGAATGGGATGCGAACTTCATCGCAATTGGCTGGAGTATAGACTTTGACTTTGACGGTTTTGTCGGCGTTGAGACTCAGTAATTTTGACTTGAGTCGCATCATCTGATGCTTCTCGCCGTGAACAAGAATCTGGGAGATATGAGCACTCTACTCATTGGTTAAGGATTCAAGAGTTACTCACCACAACAGGCGCGGCCACCTCCTCGATAAAGTTACGGTTCTCAACACCATCTACATGGGCCGCAAAGCTGATTTCGTCCACCGTACATCTTCGGGGTATCATGATCTTCTGTTCCTCGTCGGTGCCGGTGAGCCCTCGTCGCGAGATACCGCCCGCCGATCGTGACATTACGGCAGGTATCTGTTCAGGCTCGTTAAGCAGCTGCTTGGCCATTGTTCCCTCCACGCTGTATCCAGTCATAACGACGCCGTTACGTTCGTTTGGAGCCCATCTCTCTAACAATTCCCTACTCGTTCCTGTTTGGAGCATACCGGGTGAAGCCAGCATGACGCATCCGCCCAAATCGTCAAAACGTTCTAGACTCCGGAGACTCCTGACGAATTTGAAGTCCCAAGGCCCTGCACTGGCACTCTTGTCACCACTGGCTTCCGCCTCCGCCATGCGCTGACGAAACAGCCGTTTGATATTGTCGTTCATGGCGCCTATGTAGGTCTGATACACAACCATGCATCGTCTAGCAGTATTTCCAATGTAGTAGATGGGTATTTTCTGCAACTCGGGATGCGTTTCCCAATATTCGTCGAGAATCAGAAGCAACTCTTGAGCCCGCCCGAGAGCGAAAACAGGCATCAGGACCCTACCCCCGCGGTTCAAAATTCCCGTTATTGACTTCATGAGAGCCGCTTCCCTTTCCAACCGCGGAGGATTCGTCGATATACCGAATGTTGACTCGGTGATTAGAACATCGACCTTGACACCCTTGGGTACCTCTGCCGGGATAAGATGCCTGTCTTCCTCCCGAGAGTAATCACCGGTGAAAAGGATATTCAAACCAGCTATCGAGACTAAGAACATAGCAGCCCCGAGCACATGACCGGCGGGAAAAGGCGTTATGCGGATGCTATTTATCGTGTGGGTCGTGTTGAAGTCGATCGTCTCAATCAAAGGCAAGGTAGACAAGTGATCATGTTCAGTATACAACGTGGTACGTTGATCAGAAGATGAGGCCGTATTGCTGACTCGCACATTGTCCTGGATGAGCCATTTGTAGATGGCTTTGGTCGCATGTGTCATGAACACTCGGCCTTTGAAATTGGTCTTGCTGAGGACGTAGGGAAGGGCGGAAGAGTGATCGACGTGAAAGCTAAGATCCGAGAGTAAACCTATCAGCCAACTTTCTAAGATAGTCTAGAGAAGCCCGTAAAATCTAGGATGTCAGGGTGTCCGAGGCCTCCACCGCGAGAGCACCAATATCGAGATACAAACAAGAAACACGAAATTAACAGCTGGTATGCATTGTATTGTATGGCTCATGTACATGGATATAGGACCGGTATCATTGAAGCAGAAGGGCTCTCCACAGACTGCAGTAAGGCCCCTTGGATGTCGACACATACGCGGCCCCTCTGGATTGTAGTGTAACATCGAAGGTTGTCGTCGAAAAAGCAAAGTATCAGATGGGAAGGAATAATCCACGTACTGGCTTATGAGAAGAATATCGACCGTACTTAGGTCGAACTCGTCAAAGAATGGGAGAGCCGAAAAACCTTCTTTCGCAGGATGCATACCCGCATCGAGCTATACCGGCCATCAGTCAATTGTCGTCAAACATGGAGGGAGATTACACTACAAACCATGACTGTTTTCCCTTTGTATTGAATGATATGGCATGACCGACCGACTTCGTTACCTCCGCCTAAGCAGTAGAAAGCAAGTTCATCAGACGGGTCAACGGGTTCGTCGTCGAGGGCGGCGTTCAACGCCGACGCCTTGCGCTTGGTCGCCATGAAGTGAGGCCTAGAGTATGAGATGAGGACTCAATTTCACAGCATTGAGAGATGAGATCGTAGAGCTAGCAGTTGTGTGGAGTCTTGAGTGAAGCACTCCAGATCTTTCACTTTCGAAAACTGCTTTGTTTTGTAGGAATCTCAAACGGCGCGAAATGAACCGGCCATCGAATACAGCACAATGACAAGACTTTTAGAATTGCAGGGAAGATGAACTGATCATGAATTTGAGGCACCAAGGATGATTCAATCAATAATCTCAAATTCTGTCACACACTGCTGAACCATCCTTCACTCAGAGGACCTCTTCACTCACAGCTGCTTTGAAAGAATAAAGCAGGTTCTCTTGTTCCCCCGAGATCCTGCTGACATAGCACCCACGTGACCTGGAGCTCCCTGTGCGGGATCCTGAGCAGGCAAACCTCGTTGAGTAAAAGCTCCCTTCCCCATCCGCGAGCAACGCATTTAAGTCAGTCTGACTACCACAACCTCGACCCATAACCTCTTTCGGCTCTCCCGGCGGCGGCTTCCCGCGATTCCATGTCGACCTAGACGCTCTGAGATGGTTACGGCTGGCGGCGGTGGCGGTTCGAGCAGTCCGCTCACTTTTTCAACTCACGCGCGGACATCTCCCTAGTCGCAACACATTCCCGATACCTACCGCATCTCTCTCTGCTAGCTTGAAGCTCAAGCATTTTTGCCATCATGGCGCAAACTCAGCCTCAGCAGTTTGCTCAATCAATGTCTCCTCCCGTATCCTCACCGTCACCTAGTGCACCGTCCCCGGTCAATGGAGGCATCCCTCCACCGTCTAAGCGACAGCGCCTTTCTCCTCTTCCGCAATCCCAATCCCCATATGCATCTCCCAGCTTTGGGACGTTGCAGCTACCATCAAATCAACCAACTCCCATGAATGGAATCAACATGAGTGGGATGCCTCAGACACCCGCCCCGCCACCACCTCCGGGCACAATGGGACCACCTTCTCGGCCGGTGGAAAAGGCGACAGATGCTGCTGAGTTAACAGATGTTCTGGCGTCATCTGGAATCGATGTCAGAGAAGAGGAGGCCTTTCTCACGAGTAGTTATTCGGCTCCAGGTGTTCAAGCGCAACAGCCCTCAAGACTACAACAACCACCGCCACCGCAACAGCAACAGCAACCTCAACTTCCCCTCAATACCTCTTTCGCCTCACAAGCCTCTACTACCGGGACAATTTCCACCACCCCCAGCTTCAGCGAACCGTCTCAATTCAAACCACAAACCACACAAGACTCTTTCTACACCGAACCGGCGTCGCAACCACCTGCGCCGTTCAAAGACCCCAATGAGCCGACACGGGAAGACACCGAAGCAGCCAGACGCGCCCAATACCATCTACAAGAGCCTTTCTTACTGACGAAGGTACTGGAACAAAGACTACAGAGACGCGGCTTTGAACTTGGTGTTCGCATACCGGCAGAGGGCTTATTTCACCCCGTGCCAGGTCGTCCTCAGCCTATTGAGGTTACTGGACCTGACGGCTCGTCTATTGTGCGTACGGGAAAGACTATCCTAAACCAGGAGGGGGCCCCTTTGGTCGATATATTAAATTTAATGTCGATTGCTTGCGAGGAACGGTTGCGCACGGTGGTCGACTATTCCTCGACACTCGCAAGAAGCAGACGAGCCCATTCTCATGGAAAGGTTCCTATCGAATGGAAGGACCTCGCAGATTCAGCTGGCTCAGTGAACGGTGGTGTGGAGAACCCTCAGACACCACTGAAACGTAAGCCTCAAATTCAGCTCAGGTGTTATGCGGATGCTGACAAGCACGAAGGGCCTCATTCGGCGACTAACCAAGCGGCGACCTTGACCGAGAAATATCGTTTACTCATGGAGAAAGACGTGTCTAGTGAAGAGGCTCGTGCCGCCAAACGCGCGAAGCGCAGTGCAAATGCTATCCTGGGGGAAGGTGTTTTGGCCAGAGCGGACTCTGTCGACGTGCCAGGTTCTGGTGCTTCGACGCCGATCGCAGAAAAAGCCCCGAGCCTCGACAAGAAAGGTCTGTCGAAGAAGGAAGCAAAGAAGCTGATGGATGCAAAGGCCAGCGAGGCTCAGCAACATCAGCAATCTGTGGAGACTGCCCGATTAGCCACCAACAGCATGCTGTCTGGTCGTATGTTCGGAGCCAAAAAGTCATATTCGTGGCTGAATCGAGGCTCGGCTACTCCCAGTGGCTTCTCCACTCCATCACGAGTCAATCCTGCAATTCACACCACTGGCGCGGAGAAGACTGGCCGTGCTGGGGAGCCAGCTCCTGTCCCTACTAAACACCTTGGTACTTGGCGGGAAGACAAAGCGAAAGGTGCTGGAATCCAAGTCCGCGATATTCTGTTCATGCTCGAAATGGATGGTAGAGGCTCCCGGCATGTGCAGAAAGCCTATTCCAAGGACATCAAAGAAGACCGGTCGGACTAGTTCCTTCAGCTCACTCTCATATCCAGTTGTCTGTCACTGAGATAAGTGGCAGAGCTTGTTGTTGATCTATGTTTCGAGCTCCGCACGCTTACTACGCAGGTTCGTCGTTCTTGGCGTTGCGGTTCACCTTCCATTCCGCTGGCATGTTCTGTCGTCTTCGAGGCATAAGGTTTTGTGTCTTTATGTATGCATTTTCATGAGGCGATACAGGGACACTGCATTCTACTCTGTTCTTATTCAGATCACATAAAATGATTCGATCACCTTGGAATGCAGTATGGTTAATTATTCATCATCGGACTATCTGGCTTATACCCTCTCTGTAGAATAAAGCAAATTGTCATGAAAAGTCCGCGACGGCATATCATTCTCAATTGATCCTTTGCGTCCTATTCGCGCTTGACTTCCCATTGCAAGCATGAAGCCTAACAGGACGGTTCCTTGCCGCCTTATCCTCTAGCGCCTTGACGAGGCTAATCAATATGTGGAAGAATATAATCATTCAAAACAAGTATGCACTCTGATTATTCTCACGATCTTGAGTCTCTTCATGTTTTGATCAGTGCGTATTGCAAGATCGATCCAGACAAAGTGGGTGCAGCAAACTAATCAACCTAGCTTGAGTGTAAGTCACTAGGTCCACAGTCGATATTTGACTCTCTCAACCCACGGAGTTAGGAGTTCCAAACCCCGTTCAGGGACCATGACACTGCAATTTTTTTGAGAACAGAAAAGATGGTCAAATGGGGAATACAAACAGTATACAACACAAAAGCATGAAGTCATAGTGCCTGACATATTCCGAATATATCCTTAGCTTGTCGTTAAATGCATTAAGAGCCATCCTGGATGATTTATATGATGTCAGTGATACCTTAGTAACCCAAATATAGGGGCAAGCCGAAAAGTGGAGGGGCCCCAAGGGCGACGGCACCATAACCCAAATGGTTAGCCTCTAAGAGAAACGCATGACATACGGCCTTTAGCCTTTACGGTGTGCAGCACGGACCATTAACGCAGTTGCTATGCCCGTCGCCACAGCTGCTCGGATTATTCTGACAATAATAAGAATGTGGCAGTAGTGAATGCTACTGTCTAATACGGGGAACAGAAAGAAAATGAGTCTGTCTCGACTGAGACGTATTCTTGGACATCATTCGTCAAAAAACCCCGCTTTGGGTGGCTCGGAATCGGACACAACACAGACATACTCTGTTCCTAGGCGGTCAATCAGCATCCCATTCACATTATTCATCTGACGCTATGGGCTCAGTCGGTGTTGCCCCCGGGTGGGTTTAGATGGCTGAATTAGATGAGCCTTGCGATCTGCGCCATTTGCTTACGCGAACGATGCAATGGGACTCCGTACTTCCGTAGACAGTCTGAAAAGGGCACAACCGGCGAAGCAGGGTAGATAGATTAGATTTTTCGAAGTGCTCATTGCCTCTGAAACGGAAGTATTTCGAAGAAATCAATCATCCAGCGCAATATTGGAAATCTTGGGCCAAACCTCCCGGCGCTGTCTGTGTGTTGATCGTAGCCGAGCAAACCCTCGCCTTTGCGATGCACGAGCGGCGAGGCGCCATTGTCATTCCTCAGTTCATTATTGTACTGTAGGGTTTGCAGTTAGCAGTACATAATAGTCCTCTGGAGCCGTAGTCAGTAGGAGTAGTGACTGTTACTGTATAGTGTAGGCCTGTACTAAAACCAATCTCGACAGTATCTCCATTCCGGCCGCGCGCTCGCTCTGTCCGCCAGAAGAGAAAGTCTAGGTAGCCTCCATCCCCTCCCAATTCCTCGTCTCAAACACACGTTTCAAACATCATCATCATCATCGTCACCGTCGTGTCTTTATCCCTGGATAGATGTTCTCCGCCTTAAACCAATGGTGTTTTGATTTTCTGTTTCTCACTGCTGCAAAGCAACTGAGACGTTCTTGAATCTTGAATACTACCATACAATTTCCCCGACCGACCGCCTCGTCCAGTCGTCATCTCCACGCATCGTCCTCTCTCTGCTCGTCGAAAAACCTGTCCTCCTTTTGCTCGCTTTCCACAAATTCCTTCTCGCGAAACTGCCTGCCTCGCCGTCGATCAAGTAATTTTCCATCATACTTTGGTTTGAGGTTCAATTTCAAGATATCCGCTGGGTCTTCGGCCTAGGCCATCGAGTCGTTCAAACGGCTCACGATCAACCGATCGGAATACGTTGAAATCTCCTTTCTCAACCCTTTCCTCTCCTACAACCAGCAGGAGGGCCTCAGATCATCATGTCTACTCCCTCAACGGCCACTGCAACGCATCCCACGCACCACCAGCAACACTACGCATTCCCTCATCACCACGCCTACCAGCCAAACGCCTCCTTTCCTGCCACAACCGCTACAGGGACTGCTCGCCTAGCCACCGCACCCTACCCGTACGCCGCCCCTCCTCCTTCGACCGCACCCCTTCCTTATACCCAATCTTCGAAAATGATACAGCCGACCTCCACTCCGGCAGCTATCCCACCGGCTCAGAACGAAGCCAGTACGGGCACATCTGGATCAGATCAAAGCAGAAGGAAGAAGAAGCCAGACTGGGGCGAGTTCTATAAAAACGGCATTCCCAAAGAGGTCATTGTGATAGATGATACGCCTCCTCCAGAGCAGACCAAGGGCAAGTCCCGTACCACTGCGGCAGCAGCCTCGAGCAGTGGTGTGGCTCAGCCTGCCGGCAAGAAAAGGCGCACCGGACTTGAATCGGCTTACGACCTGGGATACTATGATCGTCCATCCTTTTCCACCATTCCTCAGCAGTACGGCGAAGAGTCCTCCGCAGCCTCCATTTCCACAGACCGAACGACTTCCTTACACACGACCGCTCCAACATCTCTGGGCTCGCAGGGCAGTGCCGGTGCTAGCAACGGTGTATATTATGAAGACGCCAATGTTGGCCAGAAGCGGAAACGTGTGACAACACGCAAGTCAGCACGCGATGAGCAGAAACGGCGGGAATTGGAAACTGCTGGTGATGCATTCCTGAGCTACATTCCCCCTCCAAAGCCACCGATCAAGGCCAAGGAAGTCCCAGTGCCTGTTATTCGTAATGTGAGTATTGACGATTCTGGATCTGGATGCATTCTCTAACACTCTCTTCAGTATGGAAATCGCCATGAAAAGTTTGACGATGACGATGGCCACTACATTGTGACGCCAGATAGTCCATTGACAGATCGATGTGAGTTTTTGTACCAGATGATTCTCCTACCGTGGCCACAGATGCTAATTTTTCAGACTCAATCATCAAGCTTCTAGGCCAAGGTACATTCGGTAAAGTGGTTGAAGCCTATGACAAGCAGCGCAAGACTCGCTGCGCAGTCAAGATCATTCGGTCGATACAGAAATACCGTGACGCGTCAAGAATTGAACTTCGGGTTCTGTCGACGTTGGCCTCGAATGATAAATCGAATCGAAACAAGTGCATTCACCTACGTGATTGCTTCGATTTCCGAAACCATATCTGCATTGTCACAGATCTTTTGGGCCAGAGTGTCTTTGATTTTCTCAAAGGCAACGGCTTTGTACCCTTTCCCAGTAGCCAGATTCAGAACTTTGCTCGGCAGCTCTTCACGAGCGTAGCCTGTGAGTCATCTTGCGGTTTTCTTTAGTGTCTGACCAGTTTCAAACTGACAATTACAGTTCTGCATGACCTTAACCTGATCCATACCGACCTGAAACCTGAGAACATCCTCCTCGTCAGCAACGCATACCAGACATTCACCTACAACCGAACGATTCCATCCTCTTCGCACGCAGTTTCACGAAATGCTCGTCAGCGACGTGTGTTGCTGGACAGCGAAATCCGTCTCATCGATTTCGGATCTGCCACTTTTGATGACGAGTATCACTCATCGGTAGTGTCCACGAGACATTACCGTGCTCCCGAAATCATCTTGAATCTGGGCTGGAGTTTCCCGTGTGATATTTGGAGTATCGGCTGTATTCTGGTTGAGTTTTTCACTGGAGATGCCCTTTTCCAGACGCACGACAACCTAGAACATCTCGCCATGATGGAGGCAGTTATTGGCTCCAAAATCGATACGAAGCTGGTCAAGCAGACAACCCAAGGAGGTCGGAACGGCAGTCAGAATCAGGCGGCCAAGTACGTTCCATCACGCTTCTGTGAGGTCATTGATGCTAAATTCAGCCCAGATATTTTAACCGGAACAAGCTCGATTATCCTAACGAGGAAACGACACGAGCCTCGCGGAAGTATGTGAGGGCTATGAAGCAGCTCACTGTAGGTTTATTTGCGAGAATTCTTCTACACAACAGCCGTTAACGAACCGCACAGGACTTCATCCCAACCAACACTACATTCCATCGCTTGTTCCTTGACCTTCTCCAGCGGATATTTGTCTACGACCCCAAGAACCGTATCACTGCCAAAGACGCTCTGAAGCACCCGTGGTTCAAGGAGTCTTTGATTGATGATGGCACCGAGGCTCTCCGTATCGGACAACAGTTGCAACGCAACGGCAGTCAACGCAGCTAGCCGTTTCGATAATCAACCTCGGGGAGTGGTCAACCTCGCAGGTACTCGCATCTCAGCCGTCCGGATTTTAGTAGTTGCAGCCATGACCGTTGTCGAAGGATACGCGACGTTGAAGGACTCTTTCTTTTCTTGGATAGTGTTGATTGACGTGGCCAAGCTAGAGCAGACGTTGCGAAGTTAACGACGGCTACGGCACACTGCCCACGGGGCATATGCTACGCACAAATATCTTATGTGACTACGGAGTTTGGTGCTCAACGCAAGGGCTATGGGATGCAATTTGGCGGACTTCAGTTACGTGGACAGGTGCCCATTTGTGATTCCATGATTGTTTCGAATTCGAAGAAATCAGCAGAAAGGAAAGAGCAAGCGAACTCGAACTCCAAAGCATACCCTGGAGTCAGCGATTACGGAGGACATATATGTTTTTCTTTTTTTTTTTTCTATCTTACTTGATTCATTTTTAAGGGTTATATCCTGGATTTATGGGCTTGCGTGGACGGCTGTTTATTTTATTCTATTTCCTTTTTCCTTTTTTCAATAATTCAATCTTTTCCATTCTGAGCAATAGGATGATTTGTCCATCGTCCTACGCGGATTTTGTCTACTATTTTTCCTTACTTCTGGGCGCCGGTGATATGATACAGGCTTACTTACATCTTGCATGGGGCTATGCCTCAACCTTTCTTCTTCGACTTGATTTACCACTCACCTTTATTTGATTCGATGCTTTATTCAAGCGACGTACTTCAACTCTATATTGGCAAGCTTGCAATAGGAGCGAGTGTTTGGCAACGGATGAGATTTCACAAACAGAGCATTATTTGGGTTCGAGTCAATTATAGGCGACATGATACCGTAGTCGTCTACATGGGTCTGCCATTGATATTATTTTCGTGTACACGGTTTCCATATAGCGGTTACTGTTTTCATGGTGCAGCAATATTGGCACAGCAGTACGGAGTACTGATAAAATGAATGGATAGAATTTGCTTTCTCGTTTGATGACAGCTGTCAACAACCACAACTCATCCGTCAAGTCTATCTACAGGAGAAATCCGCCGCCCAACACGTCTTCATCTTGGTGACAAAATGGCATGCGCAGCCCGTCATCCAGGATAGCGCGATGCCCCTCTCTCAATCAACCATTGCCATCAACGCAGGGACGCCACGCCATTCCGACTCTCCGAGAGTCCGTCTCCACAACTAGCAATCAACAGTCCCACTAGTTGATCCATCCCTCCAAGCCTCCAAAGGGAGTTGGAGTAAGTGGGGTTCACGCATACAGAATACAGATCATCAATCTCGATTTGAGTGAGACTGCTGATATACACGGTCTCGAATGATCAGATGATGCGATTCGCCTTCGGTCGAAGATGAAGACATACTAGGGGTGATGGAGACACTGGAAGTGTCACAGAAGGCATCGATGTGAGGCATAACGATGGACTCATAATACGAAACTATTTTGATCTCACTATACCGGTATTCCGGTAGAACGATGCAATGCTGACCCCAACTCACTGATAAATAGTCCCGGTCCACATATACTGCCCCTCATTCAAGGGCCAATTGATATATCCTCGCGTGCACTTAGGAATCAAATAGACTGATTTCACCCTGTTCAAAGAAAGCGAGACATGGGCAGCATAGGCTCCATTGACGTCCAGGAGCTTGCGATATCAAAGTACCATGATGCTCTACGCGAGAGGACGACCTGCGCCGAGGTCGTGGTAGCATACCTCGCTCGAATATCGCGGTATAATAACCGGCTCAAAGCTCTGATAACCGTCAACAAGAATGCACTCGACGTCGCCCGACAGAGAGATCGGGAAACAGAGGCACTCCTCCAGCAACATAAGAATGACCATGCCTTTCCGCCCCTTCATGGGGTTCCCATCATCCTTAAAGACACCTACAGCACCATCGACATGCCCACAACATCCGGAGTAAAAGCCCTCCACTCCCTACAAACAAAAGCCGACGCCTTCGTCGTCACGAAGCTGCGTCGCGCTGGCGCCATCATCCTCGGCAAGGCCAATCTCCACGAACTTTCTCTGGAGGGCGTCACCGTTTCTTCGTTGGGAGGTCAGACGCGGAACCCGTACGACCTCAGTCGGACACCCGGCGGATCGTCAGGTGGCACGGCTGCTGCTTTAGCGGCGAATCTGGCTCTCGTGGGCTGTGGCGGGGACACGATGAACTCGCTACGTTCGCCTGCGTCGGCGTGCTCGGTCGTCGGATTTAGGCCGACGAGGGGACAGATTTCGCGGAGTGGGATCATCCCTGTCACTGAGACGCAGGATGTGGCTGGGCCGATGGCACGGACGGTGCAAGATGTGCGGGTATTGTTCGATGTGATGAAGGGCGAAGATGAGGGGAACGAGGCAACAGTCGGTTGTCGACGTGACGCAACGGAGCGTGACTCTGGTACAGGTGGTGGTTGCAAAAGGATTGGCGTTCTGAGATCGTTCTTCGCGGAAGACGGTGACCCTGAAGGCTCAATTGTCAACCAGACAGTGCTGGAAGCGCTGGATAAAGCCAAAGCCAACATGCAAGTTGAACTCGTCACGCTCTCTCCCCAGAGTGCTCACTGGGACATTCCCACGCTCATTTCCATGGCGGACACGCAAGCATACGAGTTCCGCAGTGTCTTCGACTCCTTCCTACAATCGCCATTGATCGCGTCCACACCCCACGAATCACTAGACTCGATCGTCGCCAGTGGCGAGTACCACCAAGAAGCCGTGACACCTGTCCTCCATCGAACATTGCAGAAGGACGGTCCCTACACAATGCAAAGTCCGGAGTATGAGTCTCGCCTGGCGACAATTGCAGCATTAGAAAGGTCTGTAGAGGATTGTTTCGAGGGACATCAACTGGATGCCCTTGTCTACCCGCACCAAAGACAGCTGGTCGCTCCCATCGGTTCAATGGTCCAGCCACGGAGGAATGGTATTTTGGCAGCGTTGACAGGAAGGCCAGCGATATGTCTACCTGGTATGTGAATTACGTGCTGTGGAGGAGACCCGCTAACCATGTCCAGCTGGTTTCAGTCCTCAAACTGCGTCCGCTCCTGTCGGTGTACCAATCGGTCTGGAGCTCATGGGCAAACCATGGCATGACGATGACCTGCTAGACATTGCAGAGCAGTTCGAGAGAATCATCCAGGGTAGACGGCAGCCGGAACTTCACATCTAGCCATTCTATTGAGTATACACACACAAACCACATGATATCAACACAAAATCAACCATTAGCTAACACCTACAACAAAACACCACACACGGCGTCCCATCCTCGTCCACAAACTCCCCCACAGCTTCAAACCCACACTTCCTCAAAACATGTATACTCGCCTCATTCCCCTGTCTCTTATACACCTCCGCCGCCGCCGACCACCCTCCCCCGCTCCATCTCCTGCCCCCCCCCAGCCCTCTCCCACACCCCCA